AAAATATACACAAATGGAGAGAAATGCTCCTGTGAGACAATGGAAGGCTGAAAAAATCGCTTCTGAACAAACAAGAGGAAGAGAATAAATAGAAATGGCTGGGAAGCCATGAGAACAGTGGGAATTCTCCAAGCCCCGGAGCCGGTGAGACAATCCCCCTCCACTTCAATAGGGTGGGCCTGAGCTCTGATTAGATGTTGTGACCTACCTGCAGGATCACCATAGCCTACTCGGAGCTAATTGCCCAGAGCCTTTTGCCTTCAAACAAAGGGAGCAAGCTGGAACAGCTAAGCGTTGCAGGAGCAAGCAGGAACATCTCAGCATTGCAGTAACAAGCAGGAACATTTGAGCATTGCAGGAGCCAGCAGGAACAACTGAGGAAGGAAGACAAATCCTTCTACCTGACCAAAAAAAAAATCTCATAAATTAAAACTAAGCTGATTATAATTACACATCTTTCAGTTTCAGCATCTACTTGCTGCCATCTGCTCAATTAGAATCTTCATTTAAAATACCGTCATCTTCCATCCCATTGGCCCTCCATAATCTGGGCTTAATTTGAGGAGAGGGGGTCATTCCATCTAGAACTAGTTCCAATTTCAAGACTCAAAAGTGAAGGTGAGCCAAAACCGGTTTGGCTCAGTGGATAGAGCGTCAGCCTGCGGACTGAAGGGTCCCAGGTTCGATTCCAGTCAAGGGCATGTACAATGGTTGTGGGCACATTCCCAGTAGGGGGTGTGCAAGAGGCAGCTGGTCAATGTTTCTCTCTCATCGACGTTTCTAGCTCTCTATCTCTCTCCCTTCCTCTCTGTAAGAAAAATCAATAAAATATATATATATTTTTAAAAGTGAAGGTGAGACAGTGGTGAGTTAACTTCAGTGAAACAGGCCTCGTCTGAGAAAAGCCTTCCACGTGGTTAAGGAGGGCGGGATGACATTTGAGGCCTCACTTCTGGGGTATGATCTCCTAAGGCTAGAAACCCAAGCTGGCATTTGTAGGCTTTCTCTTACCCTGAAGCAATTTGGTAGGAGACTTAACTGGCATCTCCGGAAACGTGGAGGAGTGTGGCCACCTTGCAGATGTGTGATTTCAGTACAGAGGAAAAGGTGGGAGTTCCTGTGGTTTGTACAGGCACTCGTTTCCCCAACAATCAGGTGGTTGTTGTTTTTTTAAGTGTTTTTTTTTTTATAACTTCCCCCATGGAGTCCTCTGAACGGACCAGGGGCATACACCTCCTTTACAGTAGGAGGGTTTGTGCTTTTGCTCTGAGGGCTTTTTGCAGGTTCCTGAGAAGGCTGCTGCTCAGTTTCTTCCTCCAAGGCCCTTCGTGGGGTTTTACAGCCTCTGCTGGGCTTGCAGCCTCTCGCTGAGGGAGGGAGGCAGGAAGGGCTGTGCCTTCCTTTTGCCTCCACATGTGGTGCTCCCACCTCTGGCAAGGATGGGTTTCTCCAGGCTTCGTTGGTAAGTGCTTGAGGACCTGAAGCCATGAGCCAGCAAGAGAACACTGTAATTTTAGTTCAACTCTGGTATGGCATTTCCCGATTTCTCAGGCTGGGCGCCACAGTAGTTCAACGTGACTCCTTGTCTTGTTTCACGGCTTGAGGAACACCCCAGAAGGTCAATCCAGCCCCAGGATAGGCTAGATATAATGTAAATGTAAATACAGCAAGCAGAAGCATTTTGTGAAAAGTCATGAGCCCATAAGAATACACAAAAGAGCAAATGCGGGGTTGGGGGGTTGGGGGGGGGGGTGGGAGGGGGACTAAGAGGTAGGAAAGAGCAGCGCAGAGGAAAGATGGAAGAGTGAGGCAGAGGCCAAGACTCCAGCAGGAAGAAAGAGCTCTGTGAGCAGAGGGAAGCCCCTAACTTTCAGATGAGCACGAGTAGGGAGACTGCGGCTACTAACTAATGACAGTGAAGGTTTGTGAGGAGCCACGCCCGTGGAAGTTTTGTAATTAGTTCTCTAGGAAATTTGCCTGAGCTTTCCTTTATCTCAGAGTGGAAACAAGGAATTTCCCAGCGCTCAACACAAGGTGGCGCCAGACACCCGTAGACGTAATGAGATCCTCCCAGGTGGGCTCATTGGGCGAACTTTCCCTGAAGGAAGTGAGTCACACCGGATTGAAAGGAAACAGATCTGCACCCACAGGAAGTTGGCCTGAGGAAAAATGAAGCACACAGAAAATAAAGGTAAAAAAATAACTTTAAGAGATGGGGTGGAGTAGCACAGAGGTAGGCAGATAGTCTACAATCCCTCTGTAGAAGGATTGTTTGGGGTTTTTTATTGTCTACCATATTACAGATGTCTCCCATTTTTCCCTTCCCTTGCCTCCCTCCACCCACTGTAGAAGAATCTTTTCTTTTTTCATATATTTTTATTGATTTCAGAGAGGGGGAGAGAGCTAGAAATATCAAGGATGAGAATCATTGATCAGGCCTCCTGCATGCCCCCTATATGCCCTCCTACCCTCCCCCACGCCATCCCTGGGGATTGAGCCTGCAACCTGGACATATGACCTGACCAGGAATCAAACCGTGACCTCCTGGTTGATAGGTCAAAGCTCAGCCACGGAGCCATGCCAGCTGGGACCCACTGTAGAAGGGTCTGAAAAGAACCTAGCCACTGAATCCCTGAGAGGACAGGTGCTGAAAAATTGCAAGTGGAGCCGCTGGTGAGGAGGCTGATGCAAGCATTCAGGTGACACTGGGTCTGACTTGGGTCTAGAAATTGTGGTGGAGAAAAATGCTTCTGATTGGTATATTTACATTTATTAGTATTCTTTATTGATACAGTGAGTCAATAAGCCCAATACGATTGAATAACAAGACTAAGTATAAATGCACTCTCCTCACCTTTTTTGAGAATTCCTTGTGTTAGCATTTGCTCTTTTGTGTATCCTTATGGACTCATGACTTTTCCAGTTTATTGTCAGTTGATGTCAGCCAAGATTCTCCTTTGGGATGCTCCTTTTAGATTCTCCTTTTGGAGTTTTTATTCATTGGACCCTGACGGCAGGATTAAGAAAGCTGGGCTTGATCCAGGGTTCAGATCTTCTGGGTTGAGCAATAGCAAGGACTGCAACACATGGTCAGTCTTCGTTGTCATCCTTTTGGAATTTCTACTTGTGCCCCGTTTTACTATGAAAGTGTCCCAGAAGGGAGGAAAGGAGGCCTGGGGTGTCAGGACATAGTGCTTCAGGAGAGAGAAGGACGTAACCAGCTATAGAGAAGGCAACCTCGCTGGGAGCTAGCTTAATGTCTGGTGTGTTTGGGCTTCAGTGAATGTATTTTGGGGACCTGAGAAAACAACAGAATAATCAAGAGAACTTTTCTGTATACCTACATATGCCAGCAAGAATGGATGGGCCCTGGGAGAGACTCAAGCAAAGAGAAGTCATGGGTCATTTCTGGGTTCTGGACTTGGGCAGGTACAGAGAGACAGTGGCCAGAGTGGAGAGGCTGGGAAGAGGGAAGAAGGAATAGGGTGATCAGTGAAGTAGAATAGTTTTTATTTTTGCAAACTGAAAGTATGTCTCCAGTGTAAGCCAAATATAAAATTTACAAACACTCTTCACGAAAGAGTCAAACAACACGAAAGCATACAAAATAGTACAAAGGTAAAGATCTTCAAGTATCTCATCCTCCTAGAGAAATCCAATCCTTTGATCACGTGAAACCCCACCAGGTGGAGAGAGGGTTGTAGGCCTCTATCTTGTAGGGGAAACACCTGGTTTGAGGCAGTTAGATGGTCCCCAGTGGGCTGGCTGGAAGGGGACCAGGAAGTGGGCATGGAGACAAACCACTCAGAAGCTCCAGAGCTGTTAGGGGTAGGGGCTAAAAAGGGAGAGGCACAGGCCTTGCCCATCAATTACTTTGCCAAAAACCAACTTCCCCTCTCCATCTGTTCTCTGACCCTCTTTTTCTCTCCTACTGAAGGAAACAGGCCTCTTAAGAAAAAGAGATCCCCAAAGGGATTTCCTGTGGAGGGAGGCCTCCAGGAAGACCCAGGAGCACCCTGGCCAGGGGAGGCTTTGGCCAGCTGCCTCAGTTGGAGTTCTCATGTGACCAGAGGCTGCCCCTTTATTCTTCTCCTGCCCCATCCCTGACCTGGGGTTGCCTCTATACCTCCTGACCTCTGGACTTAAGGTCCTTGATGTAACTAGAAACCCTAAAGATCACTTTTTTAGAAGAAAGAAACCAAAATGATTACCCAAGGTGACCCTTTTCTACTTTTAGTTCTATACTTTAACTACTCTATAGGAAAAAAAGGAACACAGCAAATATCACACTCACTGACGTCCTTCTGCATTGTCATCTCATCATACACATACATGTTAGCTGCTGTTCTCAGTGTGCACACACTATTTACCATGTATAGTATTTCATGGACTCACAGCATTCCTGCATGTCCCAGTTTCACTGTAGGGCAGGCTGAACCTTTCACCTCTGCACAGGCATTGGTTTAAATGGAAACCAACACCATTGTACCCATCCTTCCTTTCCTTTTCAAGGTTTCCTCTAGGAAAGTGGGGTCTCCAAACCCACTTGGTATATCGAGTCTCTGATCACGCCTGTTATATTTTTACATACTGCTCTTCAGAAGAGCCGAACCAATTGCAATGTACAGTGTCACCAATTTCCCTATAGCTCTGCCAGTGCTGGATATATGTATATATGGTACAACAGTGGTATAGTTAATCCACCCACTCCATAGATGAGAAAACTGAGAGTCGGAGAGACCAAGTCACTTTCCCAAGGGTCATTCAGTAGTGGATGGCAGATAGATCCAATTCTGCAGGCACATCTGCCCCCCCTCAGTGCTTTGTCTGTCAAACCACACTCTGCCTCTGACAGTTGCTTCTAAAAAATGGACACAGAAGGCTTTTCCGACTTCTCTTGTCCTCGGAGGAAAACAGAAACACAGAAGCACAGCCTTTGCCCCTGTGTCATGCAGACCAGGTTTCTTAGCTTCATCTGGGCCCTTCCCCAGCCTCCTGCATCAGGTCCTGAAGAGTTCCTCAGAAGACAGCATGGTCGTGGCACAGGCTTCCACCTCTTCCCTTCTGCAGCTGATTAACTTCTGCGGTGAATTGGTGATTTTCTGAAAAGTAATTCCCATTAATATTCATTAGATGAAGAGTAGTACTAACATAGTAGTTGGAACACTATCACAAAAATCCCAATTATTTGGTTAATTAACTTTTAAATAGAAAAAGGCCTCAAAACAATTCTAACTCCTAGATCAGGGCCTTCCGGCATTTACAGAGATGTCTTCCAGTCCACCGAGCAGCAGATCTGCTGGGATCCAGGTTCATCAGTGCTCCTCTCTCTGAGACCCTGCCTTATAAAAGCCCAGAATGTCATTCTGGTATAAAAATAAATAAATAAATAAATAAATAAATAAATAAATAAATAAATAAATGTCTAATTTTATTCTACCAGAGAGCTCTGAAAATAACGACCTGGTCTGAGATGCTCTACATACAGCACCTAGCAGAGTGCCCAGTCCAGAGATGGCACTCCTGAAACACAAGTCCATTTCCTACTCATATTTCATGTTCTCCCAGGGACCCCAATACATAATCAAAACCAGCTGTAAAAATGCAGGTACCAACCTTTCAGAGGGACACTCCCCAGCCATTGCTAACCTGCTCACCAAGTTCACAAGGTCTCTCTGCAGCTATCTCCCTCGGCCCTCCCCTTCATCACTCCGAAGAGAGGCTTGTGAGCACAGATTAGCAGGCGCACCTCTGTCCCCAGGAGACAGTCAGTTGTCTGTAAAGAGGCAGCTTCAGGGGATCTCACTCTTAGTGTCTCGGGCAGATCCTGGGAAAGGACAAGGCCCACACGGGGCTCCCTGAGCAGGGCTACCTTTGTGGAGCCCACCACCAGTTCCTAGCCGCTGGCCTAGTTAGATTCTCAGGACCCTGGCTACCTAGATCTGCAGTGTTATACTTGATTATGTTTTAAATTCTGGAGCAGCACTGTCCAATAGGAATATAATGTGAGCTACAAATAAAATTTAAAATTCTCTAGAAGCACACTTTTAAAAAGTAAAAAGAAACAGGTAAAGTTAAAAGTAATACTATATTTTATTTAAAATAAATATCATTTCAACATGTAACTAATATAAAAATATCAATAAAATATTTCATATTTTTTATGGCTCTTCAAAATCCAATTGTGTTTTACACTGAGTGGCCAGATTATTATGATCTCTGAACACATAATAATCTGGCCACTCAGTGTATATCATATATAATAAAAGGCTAATATGCAAATTGTCCCCTTGACCAGGAGTTTGACCAGCAGGCAAGCCGGCCAACCACCCATGTTGTCTCCCTGGCCAGGCTGGCTGGACCCCACCCATGCACAAATTCATGCATGGGCCTCTAAGATACACACACACACACACACACACACACTGAGTGGCCAGTTTATTATGCATTCAGAGATCATAATAATCTGGCCACTCAGTATATATTTACAGCACATCTCACTTAAGACTAGCCATATTTCAGGTGCTCAACAGTCACATATGGCGAGTGGCTACTGTACTGGAGAGTATAGTTCTAGAACATTAAAGTAAAACAGCACAACCAACCCCAGAATTTCAGAAGGTGCAAAACTGTTGTCCCACAGGTTAGAACAAACTTTCAAACAAGGTTCAGCTGACATCAGTTTGAATTCGTTTTCAAAGTTTAAAAATCAGAAGATTTCTCATTAAAATCTAGATTTTTGTTTCTTTGTTTGTTTCTCACTTAAAACTTGAAGATCTTGTAACACTGGCTTATGTGCATTCCCTGTTGGCAGCAACCTGCTGGCACTGAGGAGCAGCTGTCCTGTTTAGTCGGAATGTGTTTGCCAAGGTCCCCACCATCTGATCCTATTGAATTACAGTCATTGCACCGCACACTATTTTATTTTATTTTATTTTATTTATTTATTTATTTATTTATTTATTTGGTACCTATCTTGGCCCCAAAGGCATCTGATCTCAGAAACTCTATTTTCTATGAAGCACACAAAGTCATACGTGGGGTGGTCTATTGAAGAATGACTAACTTGGGGCCATCTTTAGGAGGCCACATTACTGTGGAATGCGACAGCAAGATGAAAGAATAAAGTGAGTCATTCTCACTTTGGCACCAAAGTCTCCATATTCATGAAGCAATTATGGACGAAAGACAAGGAAAAGAAATTATATTTTTAGATATGGAATATATACTTAGAAGTCTTAATATAATTTTCCTTGCATATGTGTTTCTTGCTTCAAAATGTTACTTGGTGATATCAACTAGAATGCAAAGACATTCTTAATGGTATATTTCAGAGTACAATCATCGCTAACTATAAAATTAAGATGTGGACCTGAAATATTTAGTCCAAACAGATAAACAAACACTCACAAACTCAAAAGGGCTTTTTTCTTCTTTTTTTTTTTTTTTTAGTTTCATTCTTTTTTTCAATAGGGCTCTTTAAAGAGTTGTCAAGGATTTCCACTTGGTAATTTTCCATGGTTTAATTGGAAAGATGTGTGGATTTTGCAAAGATGGCTGAAAGTTGCTTTTTTAATAGTTTGGAAGATTATCTATAACTAAGAAGTGCAGCTAGACTATACCAAAGTCTAGGCTGAGGGGTAGGGAGATGGCAGTGGTGATGGACAGCTCCAGAATCTGTTTTGGATTTAATGGATGCTAGTGACCTACTTCTCACACAGCACTATAGGAAATGCATATACTCAGATAAATTTTCCACTTAAAAAACCTTAGGGAGAAACAGTAAAAATTAAAAGTCTCGTGGAACAGAATGCATGCAGGAACAGACACTGAAACGATGTAGAAAGGATGATAAGGAGAACAGAGAAGCAAAAGTTAGTCCAAGGCAGTGATATCTACCTCCCATGGGTGAAAGTGGCCATACTCTCATAGACTGTCCTTGCCTCTGGTTTTATCTACGTTGTTTGGGTTTCTCCAAAAGCTATTTGTAGGGTGTGGCTCACAATGCATTAGGATTATTAGGACTTCTTGTCATTTGAGGGCTCTTCATGTGCATCTGAAATTCTATAAGGAACTGGCCCTTTACATGGTTCTTCCCCTGACCCTTTACTCCGTGCTCACTAACAAGACACTGGGTCCTGGAAGGATTCTAGTGCCCCTGATCCTATGGAGGAAACTCCTGGGCTCATGAATGTAGGGCCAGAAGAGAAGTAGTGAGAGAGGGAGTTAGAAATGGAATGGCCTGAGAGTAGAGGGTAAGCATGGGCAAGAGTGAAAAGGAAAACCATAAAGGGTGACTGCTTGATGGAATCCAACTGAGAAAGGCTGAACTGTTCGCCACGTCTGGGGAAGAAAAGCTACTGGGCCTCCCCGAGCCAGCAACGCTCCCCTTCCATTTTCATCATTTTGGATTGGTTCAGGCTCCCCTTCCATTTTCATCATTTTGGATTGGTTCAGGCTCCCCTTCCATTTTCATCATTTTGGATTGGTTCAGGCTCGCCGCTTTCACTGCGGGAACCTCTTCTATTAATACTTATGCCAGAGGAGCACCAAGCAAGCCAATCTCCTTCAGATAACACCTTCAAAAACTGATCAAAATAGAAAACCAGCTTCCTGAGTCACTGGAGAGCAACCGTAAGTTGACACTTGGAAGAAGAGAATGTCACTGGGCGAGTTTCCCTTTTTTTAAAAGTTCCTTGTCTGAGGGCAGGTCTCTCTTGGTGCCATGAACAATGACAGTCCTACTGGCTTGAAGAACCAGAAAACAGGTAATGGGTGCAAACACAAAAGTCAGAAAGTGAGAGGACCAGGGTTAAGTGTTAATGGACTAAACATTCCAATTAAATGGCAGAGCTTGTTGGGATGTTTTGGTGTTTGTGTGTGTGTGTGTGTGTGTGTGTGTGTGTTTGAAAGGCTAACTATATGCTACTATTAGAGACACACTTTATATGTGAGAACAGAGATAAGTTTAAAGTAGAATCTGAAAAGAAGATAAAACATACAAACAATAAGCCAAAGTAATAGCCTTTACTTTGGCTTATTGTTTGTATGTTTTATCTTCTTTTGATAACAAAATAATGAGTATTGCCAGAGAAAAAGAGGGACATTTCATGATGATAAAAGGCCCAATTACTCAGGAAGATATATCAACCATAAATATCCAAGCTCCTAAAACAGAGCTTCAAAATACATGAAGGAAAAACTGACAATAAAAGGACAAACAGACACCACCACACTCATAGAGATTTTGTGTATCTCTCTCAATAATAGAACTATACAAAAGTGTGAACAGTATCATCCAACATTTTGACCCAATTGATATTTATAAAACACTACACCAACCACTGCAGAATACATATCCTTTTACACTCCAGGAAGCCGTGAGCCGAGCTCCCCCAAAACCACCCCCTCCTCCCCTCTCCTTTTCTCAACCCCCCACCCACCCCAAGTTCTTCCTGAAGGGATTGAGGCCTGGCCTGCCTCCCGTGTTTGATATACCTCATTGCCTTTACCTTCATGGTTAGCAGTAAATCATTTAGCAAACAATTCAGACTGGGCTGGAGGGGGCCTGGTGAAAAGCACACTGCTAAGCTTTATGAAAAGGGGAAAATGAAAGGAGTCAATACTCTATATGTGAAGCCTTAGAACAGTGCCTGGTGCTTAACCCTGTGCTAATCTCCGCTAAAGTGATACCTGCCTGGAAGTACTGGAGAGAGAAGGAGAACGGCTTCAGGTAGCAGGGTGGGGGGGTGTCCTGAAGACTGCATCAGGAGAACCATTCCTCCTGCGTGGGGAGAGTACGGCCCTCCCTCTCAGGGCCATGCTGTCACAAAAGTGACTCCTGCCAGAGCAGAACTACAGGAATGTGTAGCTGGAAGGCAGTTCCAGCTCCAGTTGCCTCTGAGGAGCTGACTGCTAATCCTCCCCCCAGGAGAGAGCTGTGAGAAGAACTCTCTGAGGTGATAGGATGGGTTTGATTTTGCTGTTTTGTTTTGGCTCTGTGTTGCTTTGCGTGTTGAGGTCTGGCGGATGGGCCCAGGAGCCAGCCAGATGGAACATGGGAGTTGCGGGTAGGGGGTTGGGGGAAGGGGGCTGGAGGAAGGAGGCTGCTGGAGGCTTGCTTTTGCTTCTCCCAATCCTGGCATGGGCACACAGGACTACCCACCCTGGAGAGCCTCAGACCTGTTGGCCAGGAGTGAGATAAGAATCCTGCGCTGGCAAGGAGCTGAGAAAACAGATGGAGATCCTAACCTTTGGGGCAGGTCCAGATTGTTCCTGGCCCACAGCCAAAGCAAAGCACAATCTAGGCCTCCCACACTCACACCCACGCACTTCACCCTGAGAACCAACGAGGCTCTTGGCAGGTGAACTGAATATGTTGTGTTGGAACAAGTTACTGGATGCAGCTGCTGTTAGAAACATGGGAAGGGGCCAAGAACCCTCGGCAGACCCGTCTGGAAAGGTTAGGCTGTGCGTGACTCCTGAGCTGCCGAGCACCATAGCTGTGCTACGTACACCCCTGCTCACTGGGCCATGCCAGGTCTTGGGGGCCAGCAGGAGTGGCCTGACTGAGGAGGGTCCCCACTCCCTGGAGAACGGAAGATTCTCTAGCCCCTCTGATTAGAAGTGAAGTCCTGTGCATGCTCTCCTGCCCTCTTGGCGCAAATTCTTGTCAACCAGGAAACATGTGCCAGTGCCCACCTACAGCCCAAACTACATCTGGTCAGTGTCGTGTTGAGAGGAAAACAGAACACTTACCAAAGTGTCGGGGAGCACCACCCCGGGGCAACAGGAGTATCGGAGCAGCCGGCCCATCTTCCAGATGGAGAGCGGCACAACCACAAGGATCAGCATGAAGCCAACAAATGCAAACAGGGCCACCGCCAGGGGGAGGGTCTCTTCTGAAAATGCAAAGACAGGAACAGGCTTAGGAGACACAGCGAGGATGACATCTCCAATCTGGGGCCTCCCTCACATTCCTGGAGCTGGCTCTGCACATGGCCAAGATAGTAGATGCCAACATCACGAGATGGCTTGTATGCCCTACTGACTGAAATTACCACCACTAAAACCATTTTTCTAGAATTCAGATAGAGGCTTGGTTTCCAGAAAGCCCCAGGGAAGATTAAAATCATTTTCTTGGGAAAAGGGAGGAGCATCAACTGTTAAACCACTGACTGTGCTAGCATGTACAGGACCTTGGGGCCATGGCCAGGACGACAGGCAGAGTGCCAGGCCGCCTGCAGGAGGAGGGGGTGGGGGTGCTGGAAAAGAACAGCACAGAAAGGAACTAGGCAGTAAGTGGTAAAGTATTTCACAATTTGCTCTTGGCATTGATTCATCTTTGGGAGGAAAATACTGGGTTCAGAAAACAGTCACATGATAACTAGGATACATTAAGCTCCTACTATGGTTAAGTGACTTATCCCAGGTCACATAGGTAGGGCTGTCTCCGAAGCCTGCATTCATCCTAACTAAATAAATGGGTAAGAAAGGACCAAGTGGAAGATCTGAAGATGCAGAAGGGGGCATGTGTAATTTTCCCATCATGTAACTGGAGGCAACTCATGTAGCCCCTCTAGGCTGCACTGCTCACCTGCAGTGGGAAAGGTGGCACAGCCACAGAGTCTGCAGAGAAGCTGGTGGCCTCACATGTGTGGCAAGGGGCACTGGACTTTGTTTCAGTGCATTTGGAAAACATTTTGGCAGTATACATCAAGAGAAACACACATGTTCACAACCTTTCATCCACTCCTCTGAGTACATTCCAAAACCATGATCCCAAGAAAGGAAACAATGATATGCAGAAAGCAGTTTACAGCAACATCTGGATTAGAGCATCGGCCTCATAACCAGTCTCCCTCTGCCCACCACTTCCAGGCATGCTCTGTGCATTTTCTTCATTGCTCACATGGGAAGCTATCTCATTTGTTTACCTGTCTGTAGCCATTTCTCTAACTAGAAGGTAGGGGTATCCCTGCTGTATCCCAGGGACTAGACCAGCAAGTGGCACATTGTCAGTGCTCAATAAATAGTCACTAAAAAAATCAGTCAATTACTCAAAATCATCATCTTCAAAAGCAAATGGAAATGACCTAAGACATAGAAATGACTTAGATATCTAAATAGGATATTATTTAATTTATTATGGGACATTAGCATGGTAGGTTAGGAATTCCTCTATTAAAATGAGAATTAATAGCCTTAGCTGATTTGTCTCAGTGGATAGAGCATTGGCCTGCAGACTGAAGTGTCCCGGGTACGATTCCAGTCAAGGACACATGCCCAGGTTGCAGGCTTGATCCCCAGTAGAGGGTGAGCAGGAGGCAGCCAATTAATGATTCCTACTCATCAGTGCACATGTTTCTATTTCTCTCTCCCTCTCTCTCTTCCTCTCTGAAATCAATAAAAATATTTTTAAATGAGAATTAGGACATATACAAGCTTGTTCACTATAGCATGGTTTTTAGTGGCAAAGATTGAAAGCACAGAATATACCTATTATCAGAGGGATAAGTATATATATGTTGGCACATATATATTGGCTTATTCTGCATCTTCTTTGCAAATGAGGTAGAAATATGTGTACTGACATGAAAAGATGTTACACTACAGCGAAGAAGCAAGAAACTGAACAGTAAGTACAATAGTGCCATTAGCGCCTGTGAGTACCGGTATCATGCAGTAACTTGCAGATTAAGTGCTAAACTTGCCAAAATAAACACTCTCAGTGGAAAACATGTACCTCTTACTTTATATACTTCTGTGTTGTTTCAATTTTTAACAAGCTTGACTTACATGGTTTTAAAAAGTAGTATAAAATGACAATCAGAAAATCCATTTGAGAAACATAAAGAATATTTGTGAAAAAGCAGGCACAAAGCCTATGTGCGATCCAACATGTGTCCACATGTGGGCAATGATGGAAGGACGACACCTTTCTGGAGGGCAATTTGGGAACAGCAGTTAAAATCCAGTCTACCAGTAAGATGATCTATGTACAAGGTAACTAGTTAAAGCATTGCCAGCAATAGCAAAATATTACAGGGGGCGGGGAGAAATGAAATGCCACTCAATATGGAGCTGGTTAAATTAGTTATATATACACAAAATGGAATACTACATAGCCATAAAGAAAGATATACAGTCCTGTGTAGATATGGAAAATCTGTAAGATATAAAAAGTGGAAAAGACAAAATTCAGAATAACAAATAGAGTATACTACCATTTGTGCTAAAAGGAAAGGTAGGGAGGGGAGCCTCCATGTGTATCTTATATTTTTTTAAACTAAATGTGCAAAATATTTTTTTAAAAGACTAAAAAGTTATATACAAATATGTCACTAGTGGTGTTTTAGTGGCAGAATTGTGGGATGTGGGGTTTTGTTTCTTTTCAATGGGTTTTTAAACATTGAGCAGTTTTAGACCATTAAAAAATGTCAAGGGAAAAAATGTATGTCAAACATGGAGTCTATAGACTTCCCATAGGCCCCTCCTAGCTGAAAGCGGCTGTGATGAGCTGTCTCCTCAGAAGACTGACTCTCAGCCCTGACTGCCTCTCCTGCCACCCGCCTCTGATTCAACCTTGCAATATATGGCCTCAGGCCTAGCGCCCTTTCAGGGGAAAGAAAGTTCCAGACAGTGGCTCAAGGGACCACCACCCAGCCCCAGACGGGACTCTCGCCTATAGGGGAATTAGAGTGAAGCACACCTTTACCATAGGAACCCATCCGGCCTCAGAAAGCAGGTCAGTGAGGCCACGGGAGACTGAGAACCAAAGAAACCCAGTAGGCAGCCGAGCATCCTCCAGGGGGAAGGGAAGGGGGCTGTCACCTGTGCAGGACCCCAGGGAACAAACAGGCTATCCTTACCTTGCACCTTGACACATTCTGCCTGGCTGAAGGCGCTGTGCCTCCCGATGGCCCTCACGAACGTCTGGGCCTTCACACAGTACACAGCCGCTGGCTCCATGGTTTCCAGGTGCACTGGAATGCCCCTGCTCTTCACTATTTTCACATGTTCCTTTAGGACAGTGGTCAGCAAACTCATTAGTCAACAGAGCTAAATATCAACAGCACAACGATTGAAATTTCTTTTAAGAGTCAAAATTTTTAAACTTAAACTTTTTTTAACGCCACTTCTTCAAAATAGACTTGCCTAGGCTGTGGTATTTTGTGGAAGAGCCACACTCAAGAAGCCAAAGAGCCACATGTGGTTCGCGAGCCTCAGTTTACCGACCACGGCTTTAGGAGACCAAAAACCAGTTACACACTGAGGGAAGCAAGACAAGAAAGAGAGAGAAGAGCCAGGGAAGGAAAGCTGCAGCTATCTCCTTTCCAAGCTGCACACAGAATGTTCCATCATTCATTCATTCACTCATTCATACATATCTGTTTATTATTATACATGGAATATGTACCAAACACCGTTGTAGGCACTGGAACATAGCATTGAACAAAACAAAGTCCCTGCTGTCCTGGAGCTTACGTGGGAAAAGACAGACAATGTGTACTATTTATCAGGTGGTAATAAGAAAAAAAATGAAGCAGGGCAAGAAGGTAGAGTGATAAGGAGGCACCAAAAAGAATGGTTGGGGAAGATCTCTCCAACAGGATAACGTGGACAGAGAAGTGGAAGTCGGAAATACTATAGGACTGAGTTGAGGGGATAAGTGCGCAGGAGCAATGGAACCAATGGGCTGTGCCTCCTCACATCCACCCATCCGTTAATTCATCTACACATCCTTTCACCTCTACCCACCCCTTGTGGCCTGTGCTCCATGTCTGATCCTGTGGAGGCTTGTTTGGACTGCGCTTAGATGACTCAGGGTACATAACCCTCTCTCAGCATGGCCCTTCCAGTTACTATGGATGGAAAGAGGCTCCATCCAAAGAATCTGCATGTGCCCTCCTGCCCAGGCTCTGATCTGTCCCCTTTCCCCCACTCCATCTGCTTGGCTGGCAATGCAATGTCCAACTACTGTCAATGCCCATTCTACCTACCCATACCTTCCAGGAGAAACTATCCAAACTATAGTCCCTGTTGAGTGGACACAGAGGCATATGCCCTTCTTCCCCAAACACTGTTATGTGGTCAAAGGTACCCTTAGTCTAAGAAGGATCCTCCATCAAAGGCCAGGCAGCAACCTGCGACTCCTAAGCTTGGCCTGATAAGATAAGCAGGATCAATCAGATTTCCTCTCTTGGGAATTGGTCTTGAGAATAATTGGAGATAGAAACAGGGACTGAGGGGAGAGGACACAGTGATGGGGAGGGATTAGGCCTGAGAGGCCTTAGGGATGGTGAGGCACAGCCACAGGAATGTGTAGGAAGGACTGACAGGGCCTGGGAGTAAGCTGGAGAGAAGGCCACAGAAAGAGTGCAATAGAGAGGACCCACCAGAAGGAAGCAGGGACTCCACAGGCAAGGGTCCTTGGGTAAGGGAGGCTGTGCTGCCACCCAGCTCTGGGCCAGCTCTGTTCATAGATTCTATCAGAACCCCTTATTCCACCATAATAAACCTAATGATAAAGTCTACATTTGTCTGTGCTGACTGCTGTGGGCCGTGTCACCCTATCAGCTTGGACAAAACTTCCACAGGTCTGACTGTCCTCTAGTTCCTTCTCATGTTCAACCCCTTCTGCTGCTGTGGCTGCTGCTGTTTGTCCATTCCCTCTGGGAGAGCTGACCTTCCACCCATCCCAGCCTGCAGCAGCCGTTCCACAGGGAGGGGCAGCACCCCATTTAGGCATCCTGTGTGACCCACTGGCTCATAATTAGGCAGGGTTATCCAGGAGCCGGGTCCTGGCTCTCTGCCCTGACTTCTGCACCCTGCCCAGATACACACCCGCAAGAGGCGTGTGCCAGCCTCATGCATTTTTGAAATCTTCTGGCTGATCTGGAACTCCCTGTTCTGCAGTATCTAAACATGCCAGGGAGAATGGCTGAGAAGACAAGCTGGTGAGGGAGACGCGAGGGGAGAAAATATATTGAAAAAGTACTGTGAATCCAACTATGTTAGAGTTTGTAACAAGGAGGCAGCCCTCATCCTTCAGTAAAACTGGCCTGAGAAAGCTCCCAAGGCCTGGGATGGAGCCAAGGCCTGGGTTGGAACCAATGCTGTTCTTTGAGGAGTAGGCTATTGGGATTGTCAGCCTACTCCCATCTCTCTTCTTTCCCACGCTTCACTCAGCCTGGCCACCCCATAGAATGAGCACTTGCAAGGCCAGCTTTTCTTAACCACCTCTCAGAGGTCTGTGATGCCTTCTCCAAAGTCTGACTGAAAGGTCAAGGCCAGAAATCTTACCTTAGTACCAGGCTCCCTCCTCCAGTAGGCCACGAGGAACTCAAACAGGGGTCCCAGGTCTTCCAGCTTAACCACCAGGTGGAAGCCATCCTTGGTGACCTCCAGTCCAGGTGGGGTTAGAATGGCTGTTGGTAAGAAAAGAAAAGAATCAAAACCAGTCCCAGACAGCACTGATTTCTGTTCTGGGGAAACCATGACCAGTCATTGGTAGAAACGTGCTAGGCTCCTGGGATGGGAAGGGGTTGGCTGTGACTTCACAGCATGCAGAAGCATGTCTAACCAATATCCTCCTGTACTCAGCAGGTGCTGAGTAAATGTTTTTTGAATTATGAGCACGTTTTTAAAACTGACGAAGATTACTACAATTCCCATGGATCAGTGATATGTTTAATATTTCAAACATCAGCAAATCAGCAGCCTGTGAATGGGTTGGCCATTCTGTCCTCAGCCCACGTATTCTTTATCTCATATCCTTAATGGAGGATGCCAGAAAACCAGAGGGTTTTACAAATTCCAATAACCAACTCTAGAAATTGCTGGATCCCAAACAGATTGGCCAGCAGTCCCCATGGATATTTTCCCATCAGCAGACTGAGAACAGAAGGGCCTACCAGGCAGTCTCTTGTCCCTGGCTAGTGATGATGGAGCCATACTTGCCTCTCAGATCCAGACACTGCGGGAACAGAAGGGCACCCTGATTGTTGGCCTCGGCTTGAGAAATAGAGCATAATCTGAGCTAAATCCCCCTGCACTAGGGTCAGTGGACACTCAAAAGAAAGTCATTTCCTGCAGGGAGTTTTCAGAGAACAAAGCATTTCCTGGCATTTGAAAAGCTGCCTGGATAGGGGACAGAAGGACTTGGGAAGTCAGGGACCAACTATACAAAGCATACCCAGTTCAGAGGCTTCAGATGAGCACACAGCACCACCAGTACTATCTCTGAAACACCCCCAGGAGGACGAGAGATGTTTGACTACTTCAGTTTTAGATCAAGCATGATTAAAATCCCCTGATCTCCATCCTTATTGAGAATAGAATTAGAAAAATTCTCATTTCAGTTCAGAGAATATTTTGACAGTGTTTGAGCAGGAACCTTTGTCCTGTGCACTCTACAAACTCATCTAATCCATCCAGCGAACTTAAGAAAATAAACACTACTCCGGTTCTACAGATGATGTAATTGAGCCTCAGAGATGTTAAGTGACTTGCCCAAAGTCACACAGTTAGCAGCCAGAATTTGAGGCTGTGTCTTTTCCAGGTACCCTGTACTCGTGGATCTCAACTCTGGCTGTGCATGAGAATAACCTAGGGAAAATGTTAAATTCCCAGTGAACATGATGTACATAGATTATCTAAATCAGGCTCTGGGGATGGGCCCCAGACATATGTGGTTCTAAAGTTCCCTTGTGATTAAGAACCTCTGCTCTCAAAAAGGCTTCCCTATAAGGGTAGGAGATCTTGGTCAGGGCAAGCTTAAAAACAAGACTTTTCAGATGTTTGGGAAGAAGTCAGAGTGGCATTTTGCAGAGACAAAAAAACAGACTTAATGCCCCTAAGTGCCACAATTTCATGCCAGCTCTGTAGCTGCCCAGGGGTCACACAGGATCACAACTTCTACCTTCTTGTGCAGCTACACAGACTCCTGTTCCTCCTCCACCTGCAGCAAAACTTTTTCCTGTTTGTAATGCTCTTCTCAAGCAATGTTACTGCGAAAACCCCCATCCACATAGTTTTATAGCTACTACTTTATCTTCCTCTGGCCCATGCCTTCATTTACAACAACAGCTGCCAGCCCCCAGCAGTGGTCTTGGCTGGAGCCCCTTGCTCCCAGGAGCCAGAGGGAGGTGGTTTGGGTGATACCCGGGCACTGTGGATAGAGGCAAAGCTGCTCCACCCTCCAGTGTCCCCCAGCCTCTCCCAGGGCCTGGCACTGGGGTCCCATTGCTTCCACTATATCCTCCTAGTGCCTGAGCAGAAGAGCTCACATTCTGCATCAAAATTCCTATTGAGAACATATTCCCATGGTTCCACTCCTGCCCCCACCTTTTCCTTCCTCTACTCTATAGCTCTCAAGTGGGGCATGTCCAGGACAATAATAATACTTAACAATAGCTGAGTACTATAACAGGACAGCACTGCAATGAGTATTTATGTATTTCATTTTGTATAGTTCCCTCAACTATGCTTTGAGGCAAACTGTTGCCCTTCTTATAGATGAGGAGGCAGGGAGGGACCCAACTATCAATGGTTGAGATGGGACTTGATCCACATCCATCTGACTCTAGAAAGTTATTTCCCCTTCAAATCAATCTTCATCTTCTCAGCCAGCTTGGGCTCCCCCCACCACCATCCCCACCTTCTAAACCCTCCTGACTTCTCCCCAATGTCATACACTCCTTTGACTCATCCACTACTGTCCATGTTGTTCTTAACCTCCTTTGTCCTCACTCACAGCATCTGCCATATCAATAAAACAGAGTTCTCCAAAGGCCTTTCCCTGCCTCTCCTGCAGCTCCAAGCAGGACACACTATCGCCTGACTTGTCTCAAAGGAGGATCTGCCTTGCTCCTTCCTACCTCCACTCAGTCCTCCACCCAGCAGCCTAACCACACCCACATCATTCCATAAAGCCACTTTCTCAAGGACCCAGTTAGGGGCCTCCTTCAAGCCAATCAGAAGTTCTTCTGTTCTCCCATCCATGACCCTCTACCTGCCCAGCTACCTACTGATGCTCTCCCTTCACCTTCTTTTTAAAGTCTGAGGTTTCCCAGAATCCTGTTCTGAGTTGTCTTTGTCCTCAAATCATATCCCTGGACAATTGCATCTGCTCCAAAGACATGAGCTATTAATGTTGTGCTATGGATCTGTCCTTAACCTGCCACAGCCCCAGAGCCCAATTTCCAGCTGCCAATCAGGTATCTTGGCATGCTATCTTGTAGGAATCTGTATCACAAAGAGCCCAAAGCCAGAAGTATCACCTATTTCTCAAGAGTAGTTTTCCCTCCTGGGTTCTCTGACTTGGATGACATTCTCACCAACCCCATTTGGAAGCTGGACACCATTGTTTTCTCTTCCAATGATTAGTCCCCAAGCTGTCCTAACTTAGCCATGTCTCAAATTTGTTCTCTTTTCCCCATCCCTTTCTCTACTCCTGGGATCAGGACCCAACTTGGCTCAGCTCAAGTGTTACCATCCCCTCCTGACTCTTGCTCTACTCTGCATGCTTGTCCTACTCCAATTCCCTTTCACACAGCAGCCAGTAACTGTGAGACAAACATGGCCTAGACCATCTTTTTCCCCCCATGATTTCCCTCTACTGATTTGGTCAACTATATGTTAAAATCCTTCACCATGTGACCAGCTGCTTCCTTACCACTGGCTATTCAGTCCTTGCTCTTGCTGTTTCTAAACAACACACCCGTTTACACATTGGCTATTGTTTGTGCTCTGTCATATTTGGCCACCTATCTATATTCTCCCCTTACTTCTTTCTCAATCATTTGCCAAGTACTGTTGCTACAGAAAAGTTGTTATTTCCCAGTAACTGTAGAAGGGCAACTATTTCTGGTGGCTCTACTAAATTTTAGATCCTATTGTGCAAGGAAAAGCTGCTCACACAGGCAATATGGGGTTAATGAGGCACCAGATGGGAATCACTAGATGATTTATTGAGGCACTGTCAGCATGGAAAGAAGTAATCCTAACCCCATCTCCCCACTTCTAGAGCAGCTAGCTCTCCTTCCAGCTTTGCAAGGTCAGTGTTCCCAACACCTGCAGACCCTGACAGAGATAGAGAATGACTTCCAAAGCCTCTTTCAAAATAAGAAAGAGGGCATGTGGGAAGCAGTTGGCATATTTTTAAATGAATCAGTTAAGTTGTTTGTGTTCATAGTACTCCAGCTTTGCAAGACTAATTTGATGCTAAAAAAAAAAAATCATGAAAAACTCAGAGAACATGGTTTCTGAAGGGTAAGGCTGGTGGCGGTGGGGGAGTAAAGAGAGAAGTATCTTACTTGAGTTTCGATTAAAGGGTGGCTTCAGGATGCTCCAGGCTGAAGTGTGTGAGCTTAGGATGGCCCTGACACGGAGGTTATATGGCACGGTGGCAGTGATGTCATCGGTGATGTCACATTCAGGAACTGTGGTAGGTGAGCACCTGCTGCTGGGGATCCAGATGTGGCTCATGAACAGGCTCTCATACTCTCTAGCCAAAGAGAGGAAGGCACAGTGTCACACCGGCTTCTCCCACCCAGGCTCAATGATGGTTGCAAGTAACTGCCTCATTCACCTGCTTTTCATGGGTCAGCAAAATAAGCATTTGCTCCAAACTCTAGTTCCTTCACCCTCCTCCCAGACCAACCAACCATTCTTCCTTACTCCTTTTATGACCAGACAAAGGAAACCTAGGCACAAATCCCAATGTGTCCAGATCTCTCCATCTCCACGGGTCACCACCCCAATCACAGCCACTGTCATCCTTTGCCTTGCTATGGTCTCCTGATTTTCCAGCTTCCACTCCCACTATTCTTCAAACCATTCATCACTCAGCAAATCATGATATTTCTATCCTTAATGGCTTCCAAAACACTTGGAATGGAATCCAAACTCTTTCCCATGGCTTCCAAGACCCTCTGGCCTCTCTCCCACTTCACCCCTACACATGCTCTCTCCTCTACACTGGCCTCCTTGCTGAGCTCTTTTAACCTTAGGACCTCTAAGCAGCTGTTTGCTGTGTCCCAAATACTCTGTCTCTGCTGTTCACATTGGCTGGCTCCTCCTATTCTTCAGAAATAGACTTACATATCACTCCCAGACAGGCCTTCCCTGACCACCCAATGAAAAGAAGCTGCAGAGTTGACTGTCTTTTGCATCAGCCTTTTAGCTCCCTCCCAGCACTGATTGCTACCTGAAATTCCCTGGAACAGTGCTGCCCCGTAGAACTTTCTGTGATGATGGAAAGGTTCTCTATTGGTGTCATTCAATATGTGGCTATTAGGAATTTGAAATGTGACTAGTGTGTCTTGGAAATAGACATTGTCATTTAATTTAAACAGCTCTCTGTGTCTAGTGGCTACCACACTGGACAGTGCAGACCTAGGTATTTGTTTCCTTTACCTTTTTACTTGCTGTCTCCTTTACATGCAGGCTCCCTATATCCAGAAACCTGGTCAACTGTACCCTGACCAGTATTTGTTGTTAATGAAATATATTGAGCACTTCTGTGTCCCTGTCACTCCTCAATAGCTCCAAGGGCCTGAACACCTGCAGAGGAGCAGAGCCTGCTTGGCCCCTGGGCAACTGACCTTTAGGATCACAATTTCTTTTGGTTCATAGACAGGAAAACTGAGATCTCCCCACCTTCAAAGGATCTGAGTCTCCAGGGACCTCTCCAGCTGAAGTCAGAGTCAAACTCAAGATTTTCTAAAGCGTTAGACAGTTGACTCACCATTGAAAAAAAGCTCTACCAAAATGTGTTTATACACTTTTGGGTTTCCAGACAGTTCATTATCAAACCCACAGAACAATTTCCCTTGTTTCTTCAACTCTCCCAATGCCTGTGCACACAGAGGCAGCAGGTCACTGGAGATAATCTATCTCTGGGCTCACAAAGCTTCCTTGGGCTATGGAATAAAGGCTGTGCCTCCAGCAATCAACTATTGTCCAAGGGAGAACAACTAAGAAACACACACACACATACACACACACACACACACACACACACACTCTCTCTCTCTCATTTAAAAAAAAAAAAACTCACCCCTGGTACTCAACAGAATAGTGGATTGTTTCTCCACCCATGATCACTGGGCTCCATGTCAAGAGATGCTTCATGTTGGTTGACTGTATAGAGAGGTTCTGAGGGGCAGGCAGAAGCACAACTTCATCTAGAACCAAGGTAGACAGACATGCTGACAGGTGGGCTCATATTGGGGGAATGCCACAGCTTTAAATTAGTTCCTAATGAGACTCATATGTCTATGAACCAGAAACACCTCTAATTTCATCATACTTTTATAAATGCTAAATTAATAGTCACAATGGCTAATATGATTGAGCACTTACCATATTCTACTTAGACAATGTGCTAGATTATTACATGATTATCGTATTTAATCCTCATGATCATACTGGGAGGTGAGGACTATTAGTTTTTCCACTATACAAGTGGCAAAATTAAGGTACATTGTTTACAACTTTTATGCCAGATTGACTAGATGCAGGCCTTGACTCTGTCACTTGCCATGTGACTCTAAGCAAGGCGAATAAATCTGAGCCCTCCATCCCTACATGGCAAACCCATGCAGGCTCCTGCCAGCTCCTCAGCACCTCCCTCTCCTGCTACTGCCATCCAAGGGACATGCTTATGCCTCCCCCAAAAGGCTGAATTAAGCATCAGCTTCTAGCTGGAAAGTGCAGGCTGGTCTGCTGTAGAGGGAGTTCAATCCAGATAAGAACCAAGCCAGCCGAAACCGGTTTGGCTCAATGGATAGAGCATTGGCTTGAGGACTGAAAGGTCCCAGGTTCGATTTTGGTCAAGGGCATGTACTTTGGTTGCAGGCATATTCCTGGTGGGAGGTGTGCAAGAGGCAGCTGATGGATGACTCTCTCTCATCGATGTTTCTAACTCTCTATCTCTCTCCCTTCCTCTCTGTACAAAATCAATAAAAATATATTTAAAAAAAAAAAAAAAAAAAGAACCAAGCCAGCTCTGAGACTCCACCTCAAGCAGACTGCAGACCTCTGAGCCAGCCTGGGACACAAGCATCTGCTTGCACAGGTGTGTGTGGTGTGCCCAAGAATGCATACAGTTTGCACACAGAATGAAACAAGGCCTATGACGCTGAACATGCACTCATAACAACTTTGGGCAGCCCTAGGGCTCATCCTGTGTGAACCCAGGGTGCAGTGTGGCTTCTCTGCTGTGGTCCTTCTCTTCCCAGTTTCAAACGTTCTTCTTTTAATGCTAACACCTGCCTCCCCTTGCTGTTACAGTTGCAGTGATAACATCGAGAACACGGTAGGGCCTAGGGCCCTTGCACAGGACTTTTCATCTCGGTGTCTGTCTCGAGATTGGCACCTGTTGTTACCAAGCCTCATGACCACAAGGGGATGAGGGTTGCTAGGGACACCCTGCCTGGTTTCCCTGCTTCTTTTGTAATGTAGGGCCCTGCTGATGCACCTCCAACCCACCCTCAGCTTCCATGGCCTGCCCCGTGAGGAAACACCTGGGGTGTCCACAAGGGAGGCTTCCTGTCCTCCCACCCCTACCCTTGGAATCACCCAGCGGGTGAAAAGAAAAGGGCCAGCTGCGGTGAGGTGGCACGGGAGGGCGGGGCTTGGTCCTTTCTGACATCCTTCCTCTGGTAAAGTAACAAAACATTTTTCTAGTCAGCTATGTGGGGAATGTAAGGCTACAGTTCATAATTTAATAGCTCTGAAATTGAAATATCTGGGGCCAGATGGTTTCACTGGAAAATATGTTTTTAAATTAACACTAATTTTAAGCAATCTCTTCCATGAAGTAAAAGAGGAAAGAACACTTTCCAATTTATTTTGGTATTAGGATAATATTTATCAGTACTACCCTGATACCAAAATCAGACAAAGTTAGTAGTATATATTTTAAAAATCACACAAAAAACTACAGACCAATATATCTCATGCACTTAGATGCAAAAGTTGTCAACAAAATATTAGCAACCTAAATATAAGAATTAAAAAAAGGATTAGATACTGTGACCAAGTGAGATTTATTCCAGGTATGCAAGACTGGTTCAACATTTGAAAATCAATTAATATAATCCACCATATCAACAAGCTAAAGAAGAAAAATCATAGTCATGTCAATTGACACATAAAAAGCATTTATAAAATTCAATGATACAAAGATAAATCTCTTCAAGTTAAGAACAGGGGATTATCATCCCTGAGGTAAAATGAAAACTGCTGTTTTTTTCTGAGTCCTACAGACAACATCTTCAATATCCTTATATTATCTGTAAAGAGTATTGCCAATTTCATTGTTTTACTCATGTTTGCAGCACACACACATGGGGTGTGAGATGGAAAAACTGTAATGCCCATGAACTACTGATTCCAGTAGACATTTAACAAGGTAATGTAGAAAGTGTCATGGCATTGCTAGAACACTAAAAAGGAAATGAAGTACAAGGAATCATATTTCAGCTTAGACTCCAAGTTGAACGTGACTCTTTCCACCTACAAAAGGTTTTAAAATGCCCTTTAATTGTTAGAGAAGGTTGATTGCGAACTTGGGAACACAAAGGAAAAAGAGAAAACTGTTATCCATAAAGCATTCTCATTAATGTGAAATGTCATCAATCAGCGAGGACCAATATCTATTGAAGTCAAATCTCTGAAGAAACCAGTTAATGAAGACTACCGAATGTAAATGGTCAAATGCAAAAATAAAAAAGTATACTCAAGGGGAAAGAGAAACTTTGAAGCAGACAGGAAAAACACATTGGCCACAATGAAGAGTGTGAAAAATCTAAATTTCCTCAGCCACACTGAATAATGGTTCTCACCAGAGCGAGAGAACAATCCTAAACCCCCCTGTATAATATTTTTATTCCTTGTGAATGTTTGTGGTTTTATTACTACAGAGAATTGTATTATTCTCATTCTAGTAGGTACCTCAAGAAGGTCCACTGGATGGACACTCTATTTCCAATAGAGACTTGAACTGGGTGGCTGTGACCTGTTAAGATTCTGGTGCTCAGAAACTTTGATTTGCTCAAGCAAAACCAGCTAGCAACATCTTTCCCATAGTGCTGCATTCACAACGCTGATATCTCTCCTCTCTCTCTCTCTCTCTCTCTCTCTCTCTCTCTCTCTCTCTCTCTTCTCTCTCTCTCATTTTCTATTGCTGTTGTAACAAATTGCTACAAATTTAACATATTAAAACAACACATTTATTATCTTACATTTCTATAGGTGAGAAGTCTGACACTGGTCTCACTGGGCTAAAATCAAGGTATTGATAGAACTGTGTTCCTTCTGGACACTGTAGCAAAGAATCTGTCTCCTGTTTCCTTGCCATCCTCAGTTTCTAGTGGCCACCTGCATTCCTTGCTCATGGCTCCTTCCTCAATCTTCAAAGACAACAATAGCTGGTTGATTCTATTTCATACTTCAAATTTCTCCTGCCTCTTCTTCTGTCCTCCCATCTCTCTCTGTCACTGCAGCTAGGAAAGGTTCTCGGACATCATCTTTTAAAACATATTTTTATTGATTTTAGAGAGGAAGGAGAGAGGGATAGAAACATGGATGATGAGAGAGAATCACTGATTGGCTGCCTTTTGCATGCCCCTGATTAGGATCAAGCCTACAACTGAGGCATGTGCCCTGAACAGAATCGAAACGTGACCTCCTGATTCATAGGTCAATGCTCAAACCATCAGGCAGTTCTCAGTTTTTATAAGGGTTTGTGTAATTAGTGTGGGCCCACCTTGATTATCCATGATAATCTCCCAACCTCAAGTTCCCATAACATTAATCACAACCTTTTATTTTCCAAGGGACTAGTGTGTGGATATCTTTAGGGGACCATTATTCTGTCCACTGCATGGCCCTTGCACTGTGGTGGTATTGGCTCTATGAACTGACACTATGCCCTAAAATTTCTCCCTCAAATATATTGAATTATTTCAAGAGATTACCTTGTATCATATACCATCAGGAAAAGAAAAGAGCAAGACTGACCTAGAACTTGGCTGCTAAACTGGCTGCTGGCATCACATCCCAGCTTCAAAAAGTACACAAACAAATTCATGCCCAGAAAAGTAGATTACTTCATGCTTTTAAGGTACAGTCGTAAGATCAGCAGCATCACATTCCCCAGGAGTTTATTAGAAAGGCAGGCTCTGAGGCTGCCCTCTATATCCAATTGAACCAAAATTTGCATTTTAACAAGAGTTCCCAGGGAATTCGTGTGCATATTAAACCTGGTCTTTCCCCTTCTCCTTTGGCCTCCTCATCTTCTCTTTTGGGCTTGTGGAGGAATGTTTCCATGACAACTGGTTTGTCCTACCAGCTAATCAACCAATCTACTAACTAACCAATCAGCCAATACACAGCCTATGCTACAGACTGGGGACACAAGGAAAGATGCCCAGGCCCTGTCCTCAGATCAATGCGGAAAACAGAACACACCAAAGCAGAGTAAAAGAGGTCAGGTCAAAGGAGAGAGAAATTTAGGAGGAGTCTGTAGGAAGAGGGAGCCACTTGGAATGATGCTAGGAGAATGGGATCAGGATGGGGAAAGGAAATAGAGATGGTGCTTCTAGTGGAAAACTACACCAGTAAAGAGTAGGGGGAGGAAATGAGGATTGATGTGCCAACTATGAAGATAGCAGCCACCTGTGGTCCATATTTGTTTTCAAGGAGATGTGAGCAATAGGATCAGGGCATGAATATGCTGGATCATAAGACAAACAGCAGATTTGAACACCATGTGCTGAGCAATTGGGAACTTTGAAGGTTTTTGAACTAAGAAGGGACACCATCAACTTGATGTCTAAACCAGTTCTAAACATTTGCAAATCACCTCAGCACTGATTTGTTGCCTGGTTTAAACTAAATAGAATAATTACTTCTCAGTGTTAAAATAATAAAAATGAAAGACAAAAAATACGAAAGGTTCCTCCGGATACTACACAGTGCCCAGTACGTTGGAGTATTAAAATTAGACATTTTTCTTAAATGCAACTTGACATGATTAAACATCAAAGACTACAGAGCTGTGATTTTTGGAATAATAAAGCATGTAGCTACAAGTATGCAGGAGTGGAGCAGAGAAAATTATGTAATGTTACTGGAAGTGAAAGTGCCTCAAACCAATTTTTTTTTTTTTAATGCTATGGAGTCCTACCTACTACCTTTTCTGCAGTGACCAGGACAGATCCAATTTTAACAAGTTTTATACTCATTATTAAGGTTGAAAATTGTGTTTTTTTATTCATATGTATTTTCTTAGAATCTTTATTCTATTTTTTGTCCCTACAATTAACATCTCTGAGGTAAACACAAAGACTGCGATAACCATGCTTTTAAAACCAGATAATGAGATAAATAATAAAACGCATGGAGCTCTGCTAACCTTAAGACTATTTGTTTTGATGCTTTATCTTTCTAGATTATTCTGCAGACATTAAGAGAGAGATTTACAAACAGAATGCGGGATTTTTCTTTTCTTTAGGATATGGGGATGGAGGCTTAGGAGATGAGCAACCTTATTGAAAACAGACTTAAGATGTTATATGTATATAATGCAACCCAAACCCTGGGAAAGTATCTTTTACCTTCTTAATCTACATTCAATTCCCAGTCTATTAGCTGCATTCTAATTCATACTTACCTATGAGCAAACATGGAATCAAAATGTAGAAAAGCCACATGATAAGACTTGCCGAGATTTCTTCTAGAATCTTCGTGAGGGACCGTGTTTGGCAGACTCAGTTTGACCTGGAACATTGTTTCCTTTCACAATGCGACATCCTGTCCACCCCAGCCATCCTTGCTTCAGAAATCAGATGTTGGAGCTGAGGTCTCAGTTGTTGTGTTGCCTGAATCGTTCCGGAAAGTGGAGCCGGCCCAGACAGCTCAGAAGGGGCGGGCACCCTCCTTTCTGCCCAAACCCAGATATTGATTGCATCAGGGGGAGTGGCTTGCAGAGTTCCAGAGAAAAAGTAACTCTGGGAGCCAGAGAACCTGCCTGGGGAAGATACCTAGACAATAGGCTCTGTCCTGGGAGACCCTGGATGTCTCTAGAAACCCCATTGGAGTGAGCAGGCAGGATTATTTTACCCTCTCCTCAATTAGTTGTTCTCTTCCACGTTTTCATCTTGAGTTTATTCAAGCAATCAAGCTGGGTATTGATTCGTTCTTTTTGCTAATAGAACTTCAGAAAAAAGTAGAGATGTTTTGAAAAAATGTTTTAATACCTTTTAAAAAGTCAGAAGTGTAGAAGAATATAGTTTCATCTTCACTCACATTTTTTAAAAGAAAACCTGGAAGGAGATACAAAAACTAACAAGATTGATTACCTTGGAGCAGAGGAAGTGGGGTCTGGGAAGATGGAGAAAAATGGGAATGAGACTCTGCGAAGTATCTTTTTTTGTGTTTGTTTTGGGCTTTAAATTTTTTTATTGTGGTAAAATACATATAACATAAAATTTACCATCTGAACCATTTTTAAACATACAGGTCAATAGTATTAAATGCATTCACATTGTTGTGCAACCATTAGCATCATTCACCCTCACAGCTCCCTTTAGCATGTAAAACAAACTCTATAGCCATTAAACAATAACGCCCCATTCTCTCCTTCCCTCTGCCCCTGGCAGCCACCATTCTTTTTGTTGCTATGAACTTGATTACACTAGGTACCTCATAGAAGTGGAATTATACAGTATTTGTCTTCTGTGACCCGCTTATTTCACTTAGCATGTCCTAAATGTTTAGCCATGTTGTAGCACTTTGCAGACTTTCCTTCCTTTTTAAGGCTAAATAATATTTCACTGATGTATATACCACTCTTTGCTCATCTACGCATCCATCAATGAACAGTTGGGTTGTTTCCATGATTTAGCTATTGTGACCAAGGCTGCTATGAACATGAATGTTCAAATATCTCTTTGGGACCCTGCTTTCAATTGTTTTGGGTGCTATATATTTTTGGGTGCTATATATTTTTATACTATTTGATTGCTGAACCATGTGAATGTGTTATTGAAAAATGAAAAACAATTTTAAATATTGGAAGAAAACCTTATTTCAGGATTTGGCTCCCTAAAATGCCAGATTTTAAAGGACACTAAACACCTTATATGTGCCAATTAGTGAAAAGAACGTGAGCTTTGGAGTACAACAGACTGTGGTTCCAGTTTAAGAACTGATTTGCAATATCCCCTTGAGAAATGAATAATTTATTCATTCAACAAACATTTACTAAGGGCCTACTATGCGCTTAATCCTGAGAATTCAATAGTTCCTGCCCTCAACTAAGAACTTCCCAACTAGTGAAGAAAATAAACATGGGAATAATCATAAATTGGCATTGAAAAAAGTGACAGAAATATTCACAAGGGAAAAAGGGAGCATTAAGGAGAAACATCTAACCCAGCATGGGAGATCAGAGAAAGCTCAAAAGAGAAGGTGACTTGGGGGCTATTAAATGCTGAAAACAAATAGCCAGGCCTGATGTGTTTAGGAAACAAGAAGTTTGGTGCAACTGGAGGTTGGAGTGGCAAGACATGGGGTCCAAAGGCAGAATGAGTCAGGCTGCCAGAGAGCTTTGGATGCCTTATTGAGCTTAGAGTTTATCCTAGAGAGCAATGAAGTTTGGAAAGCAATGAAGGTCAAAGAAGGGGTTAAAAGCTCATGTCATTTCCTGCATTAGAGCTTTAAAAAGTGTATGACTAGGAAAGATAAGACAGTAGAAGGGGTCAGACTGGAGGGAGCTATGTTATTGGCTTCTACTAGATTTCCCCTTGTTGGTAGAGAGAAGTAAGCTAATCCAAAAGATGGAGGTAGAATTGACAGCTCCTAAATATTAAATAAATTGGAAGGGTGGAGGAAGAGGCAAACAAGACTTTCAGGTTCTAGGTCTGAGTAACTGGGTGGATGGCAGCACCTCAACCAGAAAAAATGAAAAGGAGGAGGAGGATGGGGTGGGGCCAGGACAGGCAGTGTTGGGGAGGGTACAGAAAAAGGTTGCATGTGTTCAGTTTGATACAGGCGGGACACACACACACACACACACACACACACATACATGCTCCGATATGTAAAGAATCTTTGCCTCAAGTTTATAGGTGTCTGGCACCATCTCCTCTACCTTTAGCATTTCAGTGGTAGCTGAGATCAGGAAGTGGTGAAACATTCAAGGAGAGTATATAATTAAGGAAGCATGTGGATGTGCTTTTGGAGAAGACCCACATTTAAGGACTGGCATTAAGAAAAAAGAAATATAAACATATGGGAGGGGGGTGTGTGTAAAAATAGGTCAGAGAGGCAGACAGTCCTGGAACAAACTGGCCCTGGACATGATGAAAGATGGAGTGGTCATCAAGCAGGCGTGCAGAACAGTGAGTCACAGAGTTAATCATTGAAAAATGTCCCCTGGATGATCATTTGTAATCTCCACGTTTCAAGAACTTGAATCAGAAGCTAAACAGTTGTAGGATGAGGAATGGCTGGGATAAGCAGTACATTTTCAATGTGAAGGGAAAGAAAGCAACCTGAAGAGCCTTATTTTTTCATTTATTAAACAGAGATGACAATGTCTTGCATATTAGTTAAGGGAATTAGAGAATACAGACAAAGCACATTAACACAATGCCAGGAACACAGGAGATCTTCACAAATGCCGTTTTAACCATGTTTTATGTCAATAACATTAGCAATAAGTACATTAGGGGTAATTTGCTCTGACTGGCTGGCTCTTTGCGTCAGGCTGCTCATCTTTCTGTTTGGCCCCTGGAGAAACAAAGAAACACTTCCAGTAGGAGATACCTATTGGAGCATAGTAGTTAAAATCCTGGGCTCTGGAGCCACACTGTCTGGGTTGGCATCCAGGCTCTGCCACACTTACTAGTTGTGTTTTTTTCAGGCAACTCATTTACAGTCTGCTTCTGTGTTCTCTTCTATAAATTGGAGACAGTTATAATAGTACTTAATTCACAGGGCTGTTGTGAGAACCACCAGTAAACGAATGGTACACTTAGAACAGGATCTGGCAAAGTAAGTGTACAGTAAATGTTAGCTGCATGTCTCTTTATTACACCACAGTCACGAATGTTTGTCGCATGCTCTTTCAGATTCCAGCACTGTGAGTCAGTAGCCACATCTGTGCCATGACCTCTGGTCACAGCTGCTTGTATAGCTTCTCACTGCTCCCCTGGTGTCTGATCCTGGCTCCCCTTGCCTTTGGGTCTGGATACACCCCAACTTGAAGTGCTTCATACATGCTGGCCTCAACATCTGTCCCCCATCTTACTATTCTCCTCCTAGTCCTGGCTTCCTGAGTCCTCTCTCCTAAATGTACTTCTGCCCAGTTTTCCACATGTTAACAATAAAAGCCGATTTGTACTGGGAATCTATTATGTGCCAGTAATTGTCCTAAAGGCTTTCCATGATTATATACATTTCCATATTTTAACAACAGACTTTGCAAGGTAAGATTTGATTCCCAACTTTTCAGATGAGGACACGGGACTCAGAAATTTACTGTATGTTAGAGCTAATCAGGGATGGAGACAAGAATCCCAGATAAGGTCTGCCCAATTCCAAGTTCTTTTCACTCGCCTTACTGCCTCCCAGTTAGCACCAAAGGCGGACTCACAGTGTGTCTCAGGGCACAGAGGAGAGAGTGATTCGAGAGATTAGTAAAGGCTTTAGAGGACAGACCTTGATGTGGTGTTGCAAGGATGTACCTGTTTAGATTTGGGTAGGAGAGATGCATTCACAGTTCAGTATTCCAACTGGGAGAATAACATGAGCAAGGCTCAAGGATGGAAAAGTTGAAGGGAATACCGACTGAGGAAGAAAAGGAAAAGGAAAGTAAAGAGAATGGGAAAACAAGAATGGGGGAAGGAGTGTTGTTCACCAAAACCTTGAGGTCTGAATGATAGTTGACACTACCTGAGCATGGTTCCCTGTCAAGGTGCCCCTGCCCAGCTCTGCCATATTCTCTAGGCAGTACTGCCTGGCAATTCTTCACAAGCCACCAAAGTCTCTGTCCTGGGCTCTGCACCACTGAGGGGTAATGCTATCTGCCTGCCCCTTTTGAATGACAGTCACTCTCAGGACTGGTTCATGACAAGGCACTCAGACCAACCAACTCTATACAGACCATGTCATTGAGTTAGGACTTGGGAGGGCTGTGCCTCACCTGCTAGCCTGTTTTCTTGCCAGGAATCCCTGAGTCTGACCTCACATTTCTCTTGTCTCTGAGGTACTTCTCTTTCTATACCTCCTCATCAGCTGGTTGAGATCTCTGCAACATACCAGAACCAAGCTATCCTCTAACCTGTTGCTTGCACTTCTGTTAATTTTCACTGCCATCCAGAGTTGAAAGATCATCTATTTGGAAGATGAGCCCCTGAAAAAGAAAAAAAGAAATTATTTCCTATTATAAACAGGTACAGTGTAGAAATAAGAATTTTTTCCCTTATTACACTATTAGCCACTTAAATACTTTATATTATGGAAGGAAATGCAGGTGATATAGGTTTTTATGGAATGATAGCTGTGGGGAGAGATAAGGAGGTTGATTCAAGAAAGAGTCCTGTGAGGCCTGTAGGGCTAGGACTGAATGAAGCAAGAGGAAACACGAGGATGCAAATTTGAGGCCCTCACTCTGAGAGTTGTGCAGGTGCAGGACAGGTCCTGGTGT